ATCTGATCCGCAAAAATGGACCGCAAATATCCGCGGATTTGCCTGGCTCTAACAATAACCACTTACCGCCCCAGTCCTCCCGACTCGGACTCCAGCAAAGCCCCTCTTGACTTCATTGGCACCTCAGATTGAGTAACGGTGGCATGTAGGCTATTTTTATATATAGCCTAAAAACAACCAAACAGAAATTAAAAACTCAACTGAAACAAGACACGGCACTTGCTTCTCCCTCTAGGGAGAGGACGAGAGGACAAACAACATATATCAGATGTGTAGTCATGTTGCTTAGTTAGCATATTACTGGAAGGAGCTCAGATACTAAGGTGACGAGCGCGGTATAAGAACCTATCTGGAATGGTGTCGGATCAGGTCCATACAGCAGTGTTGCCAAGACCTTGCATAACTGCTCTTACAAGTGCAACAACCAAACTAAACAACCCACCCCCATATTATTGCAGTGATGTTACATCAATATAATAAAATATGTAAAGGATAACTGAGAGATAAGGGATGAGACTGTTGGGTGTGATTTGTTATACTGTTATAGTTTATTAAAATATGTGTATGTTAAACCCAATATGTAATTTGTAAGGATATAGCAGCAGTTCAAAATGGAGTCTGAATCCCCATTTTGTAAACTCCATCTTGTGACCCCCCCCCCCGACCCCCTTTGTGCCCTGTCATCCTGGCCTAGTTATAACTTGATCAAACTGGTTTTTCCCGCCACTGGGCGATCTCCAGAACAATTTTACCTCAGACTGTTTCCCGCCTTTTCTGGGACCGTACCATGTTTTCCCGCCAAAAAACTGCATAAAAGAGCTGGGACCACAGACAAGTGGCGCAGTGACTGTGCGTGCGTGGTTCAGGCCTTCGCAGCATCCGTGCGTCGTCGAGGGATACCACCTTTCCCGAAGTGAAGAGACGAGAGAAGAAGGCGTGTGTCACCTTACCTGCTCCTCTTCCTGGGGACGTCACCATCGGAGGGTTCTCGGTCCGCTTCTTCTATTCCAAGAGGCGGAGGGACTCTCCAGTGCTCCTCCTCCGCGGGTTCCCGTTACCCAGCGCGTGCAGGTCCTGGACGTCACTGCCGGTATACCAGTCCACCGGTGACAGACAGGGCAGAGGGCGGGTCTGCTCTTCTCAGTAAAAGGGGCTTGTCTTATTTCTTGGTACCTACACCACTAGCCATAGAGAGTTACCTTGGCTCCCCTTTGAGGTAACGAGGTCAAGACGTGTATAGAAGAGCGTGGTATAAAATGTATTAAAGAGCTGGGTTGATACTTTTGACCCATCAAAGATTTCTGCTTAGTTTTTCCAACATAATTATATCACCCTGTGTGGAAAAATGCCCTTATCCTCCCTATTCAGTAACGGCTTGGTCCTGGGAGGAGTTGAAAAGGTCCTGAGTACCTTCAATTCCTATTGACTTCAATAGGACTTGAGGGTGTTCAGTACCTCAGGGTTGGGCCCTCTATTTCTCATTAAAAGACAAGTGATTCATGGTATTGAATGTTACAATTTAGCTGTTTGAGCCAGTAGCATTTTTTACTTTTAAATCTTTAATAGCCTGTTTAATTTCCATTTGATACATAGGTCATTTGAGTTCATCTTTTTTACTGAATTCCGTTTCAGTGTGTGGTAAATTATTTAACAGTGTGTTTAAGGAAAGCATTGATAGATGCCTTGGAGATATATTTGGGCATGAGCCTCTTCCCATTTAACGTTAATATCAATTTTTCCATTTAATTGAATAGGAGAAGGATTTGGGCCATAGTAAACAGTAGTTCTAAAATAAATCTCTGAAATCTTTCCATGAGATTTTCATTTTAAAATGCTTTTAAAGATTTTCTACTTTGCTTTTCAGATATTTTTCTTTGATGCGCAGTCTGCTTTAGTACCTTCTGTATAACGTATTTCATAGAAAATGAGGAAATCTGTTTTTCATCACACAAAAGTTACTCTCATTGATGTTACTGCAGTTTATCTGGGAGCATTATAGGAAAAACAGACCTCTGTGAAGGAGGATAGAGAATTCACCTTTTTGCTTAAAATCACTGTTTCATAAATTTGTGTGTCCCCTTGCCCCTGTGATTGGAACATCATCCTTGAACCTGGTCCTGATTCAGGAAAATAGTTAAGTGTGTGCTTAATTTTTAAGCACATGTTTAAGTTTTGTTGAAGTCAGTGGGACTAAAGCACATTGTTCTAGAGATGAATTGTTTCTAGTTTTGTTCTGCTTTAAATGTCTTGCTCTTGTTTTTTAGAGCCATTTTTTCTTTTCATAAGCTGTATGATTTGTGAAGTCACTCTGAAGGAATCCCATTTCATGTAGATGAGCATTTCCTGGTTGTATTAAATAAATAATATACTATTAGCTTGTCATTGTTAATCACAGCATTCAGGATCTTGTGATATTCATTTAATAATAGTTGATGGACTAAAGTTTATAAGCAGGCAAGAATGTCCAGAATCCAGATGTTGTTATGGGATCTAGGGATGCCTCATTTAACATTTCCAAGAAATTGTCTGTCCCAAAGTAAGTTTTGGTGTAATAAAGAATAAAAAACAAAATACAGTGGGAGATGACAAGTTTAGATTCATTTGTCAAGCCAAGTTTATGATAAAGTATTTTGTTTATGGTTTTAGAATGGTTTATATTTTATTATATATTTTCTATCCATGGTAAGAGAAGGGAATACAGGATGGTGGAATAAATGGATGTCATGTTAGGATATTCTGATGAATCTATGATCCATCTTTTTAAAAAACAAAACACAAAATTCATACTACTTTTTCCCCTCTGAGAGATCCAGATAGAATTGCTGTAGGTGTGACAAGGAGGAAAAAGGAAACAACAAGGGTGAGAAGTACCATTCATTTACTTTTCCTGGACTTCTGCAGTAGCCTCATGGGTATACAAACCAGATGGCTGCGAATCTGAATGTTACTTTCAGTGCTCATATTATAGCTTTGGTAGTTGGGGACATTAAACTTTCAGTACAACAAAAGCTACAAGCAGAAGATAATGATGTTACAAATGTAACTTCCATTTCAGTGGAATTGGGGGGGGGGAGTGGGGGAAAGAGTGGATATTTTATAGGAATTATTTTTTATCTTTTTCTATTTATTTATTTCTGTACATCTTTGTAAAATCATTGCAATATCTAAGCATGATTTGATTTGATTTTTGTTTTTATAAACTTTTCTTTTAATAGGATCAGCCACAACAAATTACAAGTTCTACCTTTTGATTGGTCACTAAAAAGGTAAAAGTATAAATAAGATGTTCTGGAGTTTGAAGAAAGATGTGATTGTGGACCACATAGTAGTGAAATCCTTTAGCATTAACTCTTATTAAGCTAGAGCCTCCGGTGGTAATTTTTGAACATACTATCTAGAGACACCGGAGATAGCTTGGAATCACTACAGGTTTCTGTTGTGATTCTCATAAGAGATCATAATCAATTGAGAAAATGAAGATCTCGAAAATTACTTAAACCATAATCTGAGAATCCTAAAATTCCTTAAATGTGTACGGATGTTCTGAGCTTCCATATAGGAAGTACTGTATTTATCTCCCTCTGCTACTCTTCATAGTGCTACTTGCATCCCTATCATGTTAATTTTCATATGATGTCATGATGATGATATTTAGTAGTTGCCTTGGGAAATTTTATTTCATTTTGGAGAAATAAACTAACTGCTCATTTCAAAGAGCTCTCGAAAGCTTACCTAATCTTCTATAATTAACAGAAACAATCAGTGAATTTAGTGTCTGACATCCTGAAAGTAAGGTGAATTAGATGTTGACAAAGACCTGCCACAAAAGACCAGGCAAAACTCCTACTGCCGTCAGTCTCACCTTAACTGTCAAACAAAATGTCTTTAAAAACTCATATGAGCTGTCAAAGGAAAAGTAATATATAAATATATAATATCTGGAAAAAGGAAAGTGAGAGAGATTTCCAATGACTACGAAAGATATAATGGTGGTGGTGCAGGATAAAACAACTAAAAGCTCTCACAAAGTATCAATTGTTGTGAGTTGTAAGAAGGATGATGTCTCCAGACTTTACAGATCTGACTTCTGAAAAATGCTGACAATTATTCTATTATTTGTACATATAATATGTCTTATTATGTATTAGACATCTTGATGGCTCTTTATATAAAAAGAGGGAATCTGATACCGCTTTGCAAAGTATCAATAAATGCCTCAGGGAGCTGCCCTGGAATTGAAACACTGAAATTACAAAAGGCATTCAGGCAGGCTAACAAAGCCTTTAGAGCCCAACACTGGCACACTCCCAGTACTGGGAGTCTTGGGTGCTCAGTATTTCCCAGGAGTGGGCCCTTTACAATCAAAATTTGAATCTTGAAAATAATTACATTGTTGTTAATTTCAAAACGCTAGTAAATAAATAAATAAAAAATTGAGGATGAGAAAAAAGTGTTCTAGCACTGAACATCCCTTAGAAATCCTTTTTCATACTGCCAGAAGTAGAACATGCTGCTGCAGAATAAGCCTAAGGAAATAGGGCCTTCATTTTTTTAAAATAATATGTATTTAATAATAACTTCAAATTAAGGCCACAACTCTAGAAACACTTTACGCATCTGAGTAACTTTATGTATGTGAGCAATCCCATTAAGTTCAATGGGACTACCTATGTAGGAAAAGCCGTGTGGGTATTTGCAAGGTCAGGGCCTAAGAGAGTCATTCAGTACTAAAACCCCAAAATATCTGTGGGAAATGTGGATGGAAAATGAAATTAATGACTATGTATACAAACATGGACAGTAAGAAAACTGTTAGTTGAGAAGCCCTGAAATGCATTTAAAACTTTTACAGAAGAGAGGTGCTGTTTACCAAACTTCTTCATGTCAAAATAAATTTCTTAAAGAAAATTACTTCTATTAACAATTTCAGTATGAATAGTTCAAAGTGACTTGTTTTGATTTTTAGATTTAAATTCGTTTTCTCAAATTACAGATAAAGAATGGCCTACTCCATTTCAACCCAGAACTTTGTTGCACTTTCAGATCTGCATCCAAATCTGACTCGCCCTGTAAGTCTCAGCAACGTCGCACTTTTGTTCTCAAATGAAATTGTATCTGACTATATTATATTACTGCAAAATTATGTAATTGACATGTATTTAGAAACTCAGAGCGTCAGTATAATTATTAGATATAAAGTACCGTACCTTCTTTGTGTACACACCAGGAAAATGAAAATTGCTGCTGTTCTTGTCGGTAGTGTGAGTATAGATATTGACTGGGCAATTCATTATCTGGAAGTATCAGAGACCTCTTTGTATCGTTTTAAATGAATGGTGAATTAGTGATTACACATACAGAGACAACACTATGTAGTCACAACACATCAGGGATGTGTGATATTCTCTGGCTACAAGTTATGGACACAGGGCCTGATCCTGCAACGTCTGCTCAAATAAGTAGTCCCACTGGGCAAATTCTGAAGTCCTTATTTATTCAGACAAAACTCTCACTGACATCAGTGGGAGTAAAGATTTCAAGATTATATACCCAATGGGTTTGTTTATTATTATTTCTTAATTATTTAAAACAAAAAATGGTCTAGACACTTAATAGATTATAAGAAGATAAGGACTCAGCCTCAGAATACATTAAGATACCATACAGAAAAAGGAAGGGGAATGAGGTGCAACAAAAAGCAATTTCACTAAGCAGTGAAATTTAGTACGGCTTGTTAGTTCTATGATCCGTGTTTAGATTTATTAATGTATATATCTATATTATATTTTCTATCATTTAACTGTTAACACTTTGAGTGAGGACCAAGACTACTGTATTCATGAGAGTAAAGCTTGCAAGATTAGGCCTATGATATATACACTAGCATAACTGTCCTTTGCATTTTAGCTCATTGACTTTGTATTATCAAAATAGGAAATCCCAATGCATATATTTAATTTTCATTCTTTGCTTTTCAAGTTTAGATTTTAATATTCTGGGCTATATTGAAACAGAGTTGAAAACACATGGAATTTTCCAAGTACTTTTCCTGTTGCCACAGCTTTTCTATGGGAGAGGACAATTTAGTCCGGTGTTCTTGTCTATTTTAAATAATGAAAGCTGGGTAATCACAAAAGGAACTGAACCAGATGAGATTTTTTACAAACACCTCGGTACTTTGTGCTGACATTTTTCAACTTTTCATAAATTCTTCCTGTCCCAGCAAAATGCATTCAAGTCTTTGTCATTTGTCATCACTCACAAATAAATTGATCCACCAGTTCAGTTAAAATATATTCTCTTTTAAAAGCAAAATTGTAACTTTTGAGCGCAGCAGATTGTTTTCATCTGAGAAACATCCGATTACTACAAATTAAACCTGACTCTCTAATTAGCTTTTGATGGTCAGATAATTTAAAAAACAATAAATCTATCAATACATGTTTAACATGTTAAACTAATGAGTACGTATTTTAATTAGTTAAAATTAGTTTTTAGTTTACTGTAGTGTAATTTTATTTTGTTAGGAAAGGCTGAAATTAATTATACTTCAGGTTAAAGTTTTTAAGAAGACATTAAATCACTTGTTCAGATTCCAAGAACTAACTCCCTATTACCAGCAATGACATACAGGATGTGTTGCAAGCTCATTTAATTGCCATCCAGCCTGGCTTAAAAAAACTAAACTATGTTATGTGGATTGATAGAAAATGCTTTATGAAAGAAAGTGCTGAAGACCTCAAGGAAGTTACACTGTATTAAACACATGCTTTTAATGAAATCCTTTAAATAACTATAGGATAGGACAGTTACCGTGCTCCACCTAGTGATTGAAAGTAAACTATAAACATGGGCTTAGGTTCTGAGCAGACCTACCCTGTGTACTTCCAGAAAAATAGGTGACTAGCATGAGGTTGTAAATTAGTGCAGAATTCAACCTATATTGACCACTAAATTGTTACATTTGCAAATACCAATTAACTGGGTCGTATATTCCATTTGTTGTTGGAACAACAAAATTGCAGGACATCCATTGAATGTAAGTGCAAGCGCTATGCAGAGATGTTGTCCATTCCAAAATGCAAATATAAATGATACATGCTCTGTGACCACTGGAATGGTCCTAGAGATCTAATGGCAGTGTGTCAACTAGTGGGAACTAAACTGGTGATGCTAAGATTGCAGAAGCGGTAGGCAGCTTGACATTCTTCACTTTTTAGGCCCTTCACACCCTATCCTCTTCAATTTACCACCTCTCATCCACTATTGAGATGCTGACTCCTGGCTCCAGTCAGCCCACAGTGCCAGGCTCCATTGCCCACTTGTTAAATTTTTCAAACAACCACCTTTGTGCTTTTTCCTATGCTGTCTTTCACCCTTGGTAGGCAGTCTGCATAACCATCTGCAAAGCTACCTCATAATCCTGCTTCCAAAACCTCCTTTTCTGTGATGCCCACAAAAAACTTGACCATGGTTAGGCTGCTTGTGTGCTAATACCACGGCTTACCATGCTGACCAATGTGGATTCTTTCCTTGTATACTCCCCATTTGCCTGTATCTATCCGTTGTCTTTTTTTATACTTGGATTGTAAATGCTTTAGGGCAGGGACCATTTTTTGTGTTTGTACAGCACCTAGCACAAGTGGAATCCTGGTCAATGACTGCTACAGTAATATAAATAATAACAATGAGGCTGAAAGCCACAGGGTCTCTCTCCATTGTGAATTTAAGCAGATCTTGGCTCAGTACACTTTGGGGAGCCACGTACCATGCCCACAACATAGTCCATCTATCCCTGCCTATCTGAGGGGAAGACTGCCAAAATTATAGACATTTTTAGGTAACCTTTTTTCTTCCCACAGCTTTTTACCCAGGCAAACGTTTCGGCCTCTTTTACCATTTTGTACTAGTTTCTACTTTTTTTCTTATAAAACCTGAATGTTTCTGCTTAAGCCATTAGTTGATATGGCACCGTGGAATAAATACATTAAAATGGTTATCAGTCAATAATACTGTATGTTTATTATCATCAGAGCATAACAAGTCCATGAAATCTAATTTATCATATGCACCTGTGTTTAATATTTGTATTCTATAATGTTTTTTGTTTTTCAGAGTATAATCGGTGTAGTTATTGGGAAAACAGATGTCAAAGGTTTTCCAGACCGAAAAAGTAGAGTTCTTTTTTTAATTTCAGTTTCTCATGCGGTGTAACTTTGGCTTGTATGAGTAAAACAAAAAATATTTAGTTTTCTTTGTGTTAAAAAAATAGAAAAGATCAAGCTTATTTTTTCGGAGACAGAAGGAACAGCATTAACTTGGCAAAAGTCTCATCAGTTTTGTTTTCCAAAACCCCAAAGCAGAGGTGCTTGAGATCCATAGTTCCTAACCCCACCTCAGGGCATGGGGGGGGGGGGGAGGGATGATGCCAATTTTGGCCCCTTTCTAATTGAGAACATTCCAGAAATGTTGCTGTTTTTTATGTTAATTCTTTGTCTTAATAGAAGCGTCAAGGATGTATTTGAAGAGTGAAGCAAATAGGGCTGTTTGGATCTCAATGGCACAGATTCATAGATTGTATACCTTTTAAATTGTATGAAAACAGGTACCAAACTGTTTTCATACAATTTCATACAGTTTGGTACCTGTTTGGTACCAAACAGGTACCAAACTGACAGCCCTGAAGAGTGAGGTTGTCTGTTTATCCAGAGAACAGGTATGGCACAGATATTGTTAGGAAATGCCTTCAGGGAGAGAGGATACTTCAGTCTCCCTGACATTCAATGCTCAGTCCTGCTGCTGGCACTCCCAAGGAGAAGAATCCTCTCTAGGAAAGTATCTGCATAACTTTTAAATTCAGTGGTTCACAATACATACCAAGATATGTGTTCATGTAATTGTAATCAGAATTGTTCTTGCTGTGTGTGGATCACCATACAGTTTTTATTGAAAACTTACAAATGACAAATGTTACAGTGCAGCATGATCCAAAGACAGCTTCATGGATGGGATTCTGTATTCAGCAAAGAAATTGCAGCCCAGCAGGAGGAGGGAGTGAAGGTGGCTTTTTGTCATCTTTGCTCCCTCCTGATACTTGACTGTTCCAAGCGCTGGAGAGGCCCCTGGTATAACTAAGTTACGGTGGCTTCTCCAGACTACCCTATTGGCTGCATTGCTGCCTGGAATCTCTGCAGAGCTTTGACCCTGCCCTGCAATGAGTCCCTTCTGTCCCCAGGCATGTCGTCTTTGCAAGGGTTTGCGAACAGGTCCTCCAGAGGCAGCCTTAAGGCTGTTTGCCTGCCCTGGGGGAATCAGTGCTCCAGCCCATTTGAGCAGTGTAAAGGGGTTGGAGCAGAGGTGAGGATCTCCACCCATGAGCTTTTTTTGCCTCATAGCTACACTTCTTCATGCCAGTTTTATTCCTGGGGAGGTTGCTGTAAGCCAAATTCTCTTATCTGTTGGCTGCTGTGGAGCTATACCAAAGAGAAGTTAGCTCAATATGTTCTCTGTTTAGTGTTGCTTTATCATTTTGCACTGCTATATATTTTTATAGTTGACTGATCTTAAATCTTTCTCTGATGTACACATTACATTTTTGGTGCATATCTACTGAATTACACTCCTAAATGTGATGTTACAGAATATAATACTCCATTAAAAGTTGGATGACAAGTGCTTTGCCAAAGTAGTGTGGGGAGACTTGCACAGCATCTGTTTGAACCATAGTATTTATTGGTGCCAGACAGCTCCCATTCATGAACACCAAATTTCATAATTAAAAAATCTGCTGACCTCTAGTGGTATTTACCAAATTTCTGTACACTAACTTATTTAACACTTTAAATAAAAGTTATGGCAAAATCTGGTCAAGTATAATAATACTAATATCAGATTAAATTGACATGTTTTGATGCATATTTGACATTAAAAGCATTGTTTCTCTTTTTAGACATTGGATCTGAGAGATACACTTTCAGTTTTACCATTCGAGATTCACCAGCTTACTTTATAAATGTAAATTCTTGGGGCAGAGAGGAGTATGTTAGGTCACTTTCAGAAAGTTTTAGAGTAGGTGATTGTGGTGAGTTGGAGTTTACTCTTAACATATTTCTGTTTGAATATTTTTTCCTGTAAATCAGTGTTATGCATTTGCGGTTTTACTGTATTTTCATCTGATGATTATGAGAACAATTTAATTGGAAACAAATTGTTCAGTTATATAAGTATAGAGGAAGAGGGAGTAAACCTTTTAGAATTTAAAGTCAAAGCTACAACAGTTGTCAACAGCGCCCCTCCCACAGATATAAACACTGAATATTGCCACTCAGAACCCATCCATAGTTAATGGATCCACATTTTAATATTGTGCTCAATTATTATTAATCATTAAAAGTGAATTGTGTGTTAAGATAATTTAGCATTTTTACTTACTTCTTTATGACAGTTATAATTTTTTAAATGATTAGACACAACCCCTCCCCTCCACCAAAAAAATCCCCAACACAATCCGCTAAAAAAATCCCTACAGCTGTTGATTTATTTGTCCTGTGCCAACGTCTCTTGAAATCAGTAGAAAGAGTCCCATTGTGTTCAGTGGTCTTTGGATCAGGCCTACAGGGTGAAAAAAAGCCTGCACAAGGACTGTGCACCACTTTAGTTCCACATAAGCTATATTTTGAGGGCTTAAGTGAGACATAGTATATTGTCCTTGTGTGACCCCTCTGCACAGGTGAGAATTTTACTCTTAAAGCACTTTTAAATTATTTGTAATAACTGTCAATTTTTGCAATCTAACCTAGAACAAATAAATAATTGCCCAGATACATTTATCTGTACATATCTGTACTCTTCCTTTTAAAATAATTTAATATTACTTTTCAATGTTGTATTTCATTTCAGTGACAATTGAAAATCCTTTAGTACAAACAAAGGAGCTAGAAAAGGAAGAAAAATTCAATCCCACAACTCCTAGGTAAATTTAAAGTAGACTTCCAGCTTCTTTTGTGGAATGATCATGATTAATATTGTCTATAATTGTCAGACTACACAGTTATTATAAGGCAATTTTCCCTTGGAAAATTGCAAGATTAATTTCATGCATCCATGCTTTCCTCCATACCCTACCACCACCGATTTAACGGCTGGGATACTTGATTGGACCTGTAAGGAGCTGGACAACTTTGTTAAAAGTGGGTGTGTACTGGGGTACTGAGTGCTCTGCTGCCCATTGGCCAGCTAGAGAGATTGGCTATTGCTTCCCCCAGTCATTTACTTAAACCATGGCCTAGGCGCTTTACAAGCCTCTTGTCTATTTTTAGCTGAACCCACCCCCTCTCCCTGTTGTTATGTTATATAGGAACTATGTTTTTAGGTTGCTCTGGGTCTAACCGATCACTGTTTAAGTGATCAGGAAGGAATTTTTTCCATCAGGGACACATTGGCTGTGGCCTGGTTTTTTTTTTTTTTTTTGGTCCCTTCCTTCCTCATATTGTCCAGGAGACACAATTATGTTAAATAGGTGTAGAATTTAGGAATTTCATGTGAGGAACTTTATGAATGTTCATCATCACAATTTATGGCCAGTGTCCAATGTGGATAAAAGACCAAACAGCCAGCAACCAGAATATCAGAGATGTAGGATTTCGCTGGTGGATCCTAGATCTGTGGGGAAAAAAGGGAGACCTGAAGTCCCTGCAGAATGGGGTCCCTCTTTGGGACCCTCTACCCTCTTTGCAGGGGGAAAGGTGAGAGGATTCAGAAGAGCAAGTTGAATCCTTGGGGTAGGCAGTGAAAAGTATACCCTGAGAGTTGTGAGCTTTATGGTAATTGCCCTATAAAACCCACACTGGACCCACTTCACATGCCTGTTATGGGGAAACGGGGCAGATAGTGATGTTACATTTTAATAAAGTTGTGGCCTGCTGTTTAAAATGTATCCATGTGTCTGTCCTCATTCACTTGTGTGTCCTGAACAATATATAGTCATATATTCTGCCAAACAGACTTACAAGAAAAATATATTTAGTCATGATGTGGACCTTTGGCTTTTGTAGTAATATAGTAAAGATCCTCAGTAGCTAAGCCTGACTTACATTATGTCTGCAGTAAAGTATGTTGAAGTTAATTGAATTTATTCCAAGGATGACTGTGCCTCATTGTGTTTAATTAAACACTGAATAATTTTATGGAAAGATGTTTAATCCTGTCAAAATCCATTTGCATGTCTTTAGCTGGAAGACAGTTTAGTACAATATAGCATTATTTTTTAAAAATAGTTTACATGGTGTCACCATTATTTTGGTTTCAGTTAACTTTGTGAAAGGTATCTGAAATTTTGGGATGGCACAATGAGATTAACTAGCCCTGTAAGTCCTCACTCAGACCTGAGTTTGTCACAGATGTTGAACAACTGAATCAAACCTTATCTACCCAAATTCCAGCATGGGATATCGATTGAGGGTTGTTTGTTTGAGAAGGAAAAGCAAGGATCTTTTCCTTTTCTCATATATTCTTCAGGCATTTGAATCTGTGGAGAGGGAACTCCTTTATCCTGGCGCGTGTGTGTGTTTTAGTAGTAGTTGTATTACTGGTATTTGTCCCAAAAAGTTTACAATCTAAGTACTATAGACATTGTCACTGAGCTGCTACCCTAACAGTATGTAATTTAACACTTTGTAAAGCACTTTTTAAATATGTCATTACATGGAGTATATATCACAAAATAAAAACTACTTGTGAAGTGCTGAAAGAGTGCTGGATTTATGTTTTACACTGTTAATAATGCATGTTGACTTCTTGGTAGTAAATATCTATGAAGCGTAACATAATCATGTCATTTTTCCTGAGGACGAAGAACTGACATGTTGTTATCAAGATGTAACAATTTGCATTTCCTAACCTTTTATCATCCTCAGTAATAATCCTATCAAAAAAAATCAGCTGACATAGTTCGCTATGAACTGATGTAACTTTTCACAGGATAGTGTACTGGTGATGTGTGAAACACTTTTTTATGTATTCAATTTAGCTGCTACAAATTATTGCTCAGTGAGACTCATTCAGTGGTCAAAATTTGTTGCTGCTATGAAGTGGACACCAAGCTGCTTTCCCTGTTGCATCTACCTGTAAAGGATCCTCACGATTACTATTCTCTGGGTGACATTGTTGCAAATGGGCAAAGCCTTGATGGAAGAATCATTAATGTGCTTGCCGCAGTGAAGTCGGTAAGTTAGAAGTGCTACAATAAAATTAAGAGGGTTTTTTTTTTCTCTGCTGAAGCCCTGATTGATGTCAGTGTAGATTTAGATTTACAGGGTCATGGCTGCCTGAAGCAATTATTTTCTTTTGTCTTGGTCTGCAATCATATGGACTGAGTTAATACAAAGTAAGGGTAACAAGTGACATTATTTTTTAATATTCATAAGAAAATGAAACATAAGGATTGATGTATATAATATGTTGCTTTATCTGATACAAAAATACAAGGGGATAACTTATTTCAGTGTTCATATCATACATACAAGTCCACTTTTATAAAGTAAAAATTAGATTGTAAAATTAGTTAATAAATGTAATATTTAAGTTTTGGGATGCTAGGACTTCTTTGGGTTGTGTAAAGCTCTAATTGCAGGCACACACCAGCACATACTGTCACTTAAAAGATCTACGTTGCAAATATAATATCAAGAGGTTTGAGAACACAAGGTATACCTGCATATTTGAGATCACAAAAGCGCCCCAGATATGTTCAGGAATTTATTGCAACTACTGTACTGATGGTCTGTCTATGAACACTAATCCTGCTTTTCTGAAATACATTCAAGTGTATATGCTAGGCCAAATCCTGGTACTTTCAGTAAGTAGGTTTTGTATAGGTGATTTCAGTGAAGATTTATGAGAATGGAAACCTTCCAAATCACACACTGTTTTGGGATCATCTCAGCACATGCATAGAAGATATGCATATCTGGAAATCAACATTTCTTTCAAAGTAAACCAGAGTGTCCATGGATACCTTCACATATATAACTCATTCAGTTTTTATGAAATAAAACTGGGGGTTTTCTCTGGGGGTTAAAGACAACACTGTCAAACTCTGCTTCTTCACAGAACACACAGTCAACCTGTGAAACTTGTTGCCAGGGGATGTTGTGAAGGCCAAACTATAACTGGGTTCAAAAAAGAATTAGATAAGTTCATGGAGGGTAGGCTATCAGTGGCTATTAGCTAAGACAGTCAGGGATGCAAACTCATTCTGTATTCTTGCCTGTTGTCATTTTTTATATATTTTAATCATTTTGACTCTTCCTTTCTAGCTTGATTCTTTTTAATTCTTCTATATATTTTAGGTGAATAGTAATATTTTTCTTTTCAAGGTTGGGGAGCCAAAGTACTTTACCACTTCAGACAAAAGGAAAGGTCAGAGGTGTGAAGTAAAGCTGTATGATGAAACAGAGTTGTCCTTTGCAATGATCTGGTAAATTATGTACTAAATCATTATTCAAATACACAAATTAAAGCCCGGGTAGATACAGAGAGAATAAATTGAATGTAGCAAATACTGCCATAATCTTGTAGTTAGTTAATTGAAATACATTATTAATTGGGTGGCCACTCTGATGAGGCAGCAGTATTTATTACATGGCAGCAGTATCCATTAAACAATATTACATATAAAGGATATCTGATCGTGATCTTGGATAGGTTATCTATTTCTAGGAGTTATTGACAAACTTACAGCTCAAGAGTGTCAGAGTGAAGCTGAGCTACAAATAAATTATGAAAGGTCATCAGTGGTATGGAATAATAAAGAAACTGTTGCCAATCAGACCAATAGACATTTTATTTATGCAAAGAGATGTACTGTTTGCCCCCAAACATAGGTCTACCTTTGCATGAATGTACTTATACGTGCCTATCATCACATTCACAGGTAAACTGTTTTATAATTAAATCTCCTAGCAAATATCAAGTAAACATATTATTAGATATTCATTTATACAGCACTTGCCATTTAAAAATAGCTGTAAGTGCAGTGCATTCCCTCCACAAACCAAACAGTTAAAAAGGGAATATAAAAGATGATAAAAGACTAAAGCAGAGTTAATAATGGGAAGTAGAGTTAGGGTAAAATGGGATTAAAATGAAAACAAGCACTTAGAGATAACATAGGAAAGTTTTGTAGTTACTTGGTGGGCTACATTTTCAAAATGTGCCCGTAGTTGTGTTTGCATAACCATTTGGGTGTACAGGTGATATAATTTGTACACCCAAAAGCATTTGTGCTTGTGCACATGGCATACAAATACAGGTTGTATAAACCCAGTAGTTTGCATATACAAATAATGGTATGCACACAGAAGTGTTCATGTACAATTAAAGGCTGGATTGGGGTCATTCTGACCATTTTAACCTATAATTAGATCTTTGTTTAATATTTTGGGGAAGGATGAGGGGAATAAATGCTCCTTAATGGCATAAAGGCTTACACCTACTATTTTTCATGTTTTGTCACCCATGTTCCCAATGCTTTCGCTATTAAATAAACAGATTTTTTTAATTTAGTTGGGATAATGAATCTATCCAGTTTGCGCAAAGTTGGATGCCACGAGAAACAGGTATCCCTTTTCTATGTTTTTGTGAAAGATTTCTGCTGCTGTTTTTTATCTTTAGTGTGATACTTATTTAAAATAACAAAGAATTATGTTTTTGTGCCCAGTAATATTTGCATCAGAGCTGAGAATAAATTTTGACAAATTTAGGAACTGCATGACTGCAACTGTTATATCAAAAACCATTTTTACAACTAATCCAGGTAAGAGATTTTTAAAGCCCACATATTGTAGATAAATACTTCAAGTGAAAGTGTTAACTTTTTGGTTCAAATTTAGCTTGCATGAGAATTTAAAACAAAATTTGAAGGTTTAGCTGAAGAAAAATGTCACCACATACAATCGCTAATTTCTGTCTCTCTCACCTATTGATGGTTTTTCTAGAACACCTAGTATTGTAGTATTTAGCACAACTGTCCAATCAGTAGTTAAAACTTAGCTGAGTCTCCTATTAAGCATTGTGACATGAATATTTTTTTTCTTCCTTTATTGGGTACGAAATGCAAACCCAGTAAAAATAACTTTTAGGATAATAGGTAGAGTTCATGGGTCAAATTCAGCCCTCAGATTCTCACATGCATCTCTGATTTCAGTGAGCAATGAATGTGAGCATATGAGTGCAGAATTTGGCCCAGCGTATTCATAATTTATCTGTTTGCAGAGACATATGAAAATTTAATTTTAACTAAGAAAAGAATGGCCTGATCTAACACTAGCTGCCCACACAGTGAGTCATCTTCACCAGTTGGAAGCATTCTCTAAGGCTTTGTATCTCCTGTAAATAACATTGCACTTGTTTTGTAAAATTAACAGTTGCATCGTTTCTGAGGGCCAGCTGTTCTCATTCCATTGTGTGAGTGGGGTGGAAGGAGTGAACGTGTGAAGATCTGAGCTGAGTCAGTGTCTGTGCAGGAGAACGTCAGATCAGCAGCAGGGCTCCCAGTTAGTTCACTCGAGTCCGTGGAAGACCCTTGTGTGAACATCATATGTTGGGGACTCTAGATTTTGGGGAGTGGAGAGAGGACAAAGTCAGACAAGAGCTGCTAAACACAGTTTACTTCCTATTGAATGTGCCCCACAGTCTCTGGACATTTGGCACATATATAGATGCTTAGTTCCTTCACTGTGACAGGAACTCCATAAAGAGGTGTAGCTATGGCAGGAGAGAGAATGGCAGTACAACCTTGGAGCTGCTCCTGATGCCAGGGAAAAGTGGGGTGCCTGGATGGTGCACAGGGGAATCTCTGTTGGGCAGATCTGCGTGGAAGGGTTGGGCCTGTTTTACTTTGACTCCCTGGCCTAAGTGGTCCTCCCACTCCTCCTAGGCCTTTGTCCTTGTGTTAGTGAGATAATATGGCATTGGTACTGCAGCATTGTGCTCGTATTTTTAAGAGTATTTTTCCCCTCTTGCAGGAAGGGGCAATCAGGTGCCGAGTGAACAATAATTTCTGGTTTCTCTGCTGCACCTCCATCTACGCTTCCTTTGTGCATCCCATATATGTATTAATGGTTGGAGAATGAAAGAGAGAAGCATTGCTTTGCTCACTGCAGACTGATGTGGCCTTGCTGCTACCAGAATAAAAATAGCAATAATTTCAAAATTCAGACATTGTGCTTGTCATTTTTTTGCAGGGAACATTTATTCATAGCTAATTTTTATTTTATATTTTCAAGACATACCAGAAGCGAATATTCTTTTCAACTTCATAAAAGAGAGTGCAGCAACGGGAGCTTTGGATGATATAACTGAGGCTCAGTTAAAAGAATCCATAAATTGTAAGCATTCCTCCAGATATTCCTTTGATTTAATGTAACTCGGTTGTGTAGTACTGTCATTTGCTTTTTGGGCCTGTTCCTGAAGCTTTTTTATAGCGGTAAAACTCACTGACTTCAATGGAAAATTTCACCTGTTTAAGACTTTCAGGACCTGACCATTACTGAGCTGTTTTACAAATTGTCTGACAATGTTGTGTACCTCAAATGTGGTTGGCTATGCTTACTTGCAAACAGTTTGACGGTACTATTCTTGGAAATGCACTGGCCTTGCGGCAAGAGACCTAAACGGAATAAATAAGAAAAAGAAAGGGCAAACTATTGCATATAAAATACCTATTTATTAATTTATTTAGAAAAGGAAGCTCACAATAAATTAAAACAGGACAAATTTTTATTTGAAAATGTTTTAGAGTAAAACTTATCTTCTCTGGGTTGGAGCTCTTACTTCTGAGACATTCAATAAAGAAAATACCTAACTTTTTTTTATATTAATTATGAGCTTGATCCAAAACCCTTAAGGTCAATGGGAGTCTCTGTTGATTTCAAATGTGCTTTAGATCAGGCCCAATATTCCTTTTTGAACTTAATCCTTTTTTTATTATTATTATTTAGTGGTGTTTTCTTGGACATATTTAACATTTTTCTTTCAACTTTAGTGCAGACTATAGTTGACATTTATACTGTGGAGCAGTTAAAGGTAAAAGCTTTGCAGAATGAGGGAAAGCCTGAACCAGTCTATGGTATTATTTACGCTTATATTTCTACATTGAACATTGACACAGATTCATCTAAAATTATACGAAACAGGTGGTAAGCAACTGTTTATATTTTAAATTTATATAAAAAGACCTTTGCCCTCCTCTCCTTTACCCCAACACAACTGAGATCAAACAATGTTTAGCCTAGTTTCAGGAAAGTAAAATGAAACTGCTCTGCAGGGGACGGGGGGGAATCGGGTCTCGTTAGAATGGAGGGTTTCAGATGTAGTAGTTTGTCAGAGATTATTAGAGATAGGGCCTGCCCTCTCTAGCCTTTGGGGGGAGAGAGGAGAGTAAGGGCCAGTTTGTCTCTATATGAGTGTAAAAGATGAAGGACTCTGGCTGGAAGGAAGAGTCCATTGGAGGGGTGGGCTTGGAGGAAGGTCAGGGGGTCTAGGGAACAATTTCAGATTGACAATAAATAACTGTATACCTGTTGTAGTTGATACTTTGTCTTTTCCTGTTCCTTGCAGTTCAGGGTGCCACTATGTGGTCAATGAAATGTCAAACACATGCACTTTCTGCAGTGACATCTCTTCAGATGCTAAGTCTGTTTTTACCAGTTTTGATTTACTAGTTGATCTTACAGATCACACAGGCACTCTACGTTCATGTTACCTCTCAGATGTTGTAGCTGAGGAAACATTAAGCTGCACGGTAAATAATAGAAATCAGTTTCCCCTGCTTGATCTGATCTAATAGTGTGAAGTTCCAGCTGTGTGAAGCAAGCCAAAAATTACTACTATTGCTATATTATGTTTGTACTCCTTACCCAGTAGAACCTCGGAGTTACGAACACCTCAGGAAAGGTTTGTAACTGAACAAAATGTTATGATGGTTCTTTCAAACAAACATTAACTTAAACAGCTTTGAAACTTTACTATGCAGAAGAAAAATGCTGCTTTCCCTTTATTTTTTAGTAGTTTACATGTAACACAGTGCTGTACTGTATTAGTGTTTTTTTTTTTTTTGTAAATCTCTGCTGCCTGATTGTGTACTTCTGATTCCAAATAATGTGTGTGGTTGAATGGTCAGTTTTAGCTCTGGTTCATAACTCTGAGATTCTACTGTATAGCTACTGCACCTGTCAAAGACTAGGAACTAACAAGTGCCTAGAAAGAAGGAATCATGTTTAAATTTATTTAAGAATTTATAACGGTGCCCATTCTCTTAAAACCTTACTTTGATTAAAAGAGATTCAACAGAAAATCCCTATTTTTTTCATTTTAAAAATTACACTTTCCTGGAGACATAATTGATATTTCCATTAATCTGCCTCCCTGAACACTAAGCGGTTTATTCTAGTCAATATATCTACGTATTTATAAAACATGCATCTCTGTGATATTTGATAGCTTTACAAGTTTATTAAAATGAACAACTTATCTCTCTTTCCATCCACCAGTTGGTGGGAAGCGTTTGTTTGCTCATTTTTTTTGGTGAGGTATGATTATTGGAACATTAGACTGAAGAAATGAGTTTTACATTTTCCTTTGAGGACATTAGGTTTGTGGTCATTCTAATATCTTCTGAAAGTGATTTTCACTCACATGTATATTTTTATGTGTTTCAGAAATAAGTGTGTTGTTTGATCATTTCAATAGGTCCATGAGTTCCTCACTCTGACAGAAGAGCAGAAGACAGCATTAAAATGGCACCTTCTTCTGGAACGAAGCAAAATTTATTTTAAAGTAAGTATGTAGTGTTTTCACTAAACAAGTAAACCAATTGTTAGTGTCAGTTAGAGAGAGGATTTTTTTTAATTAAAATAAAATGATGAAAAACAGTTATAAGACAGTCACCTGGTATACTTGTTGACCGTTAAACAGTGTATGAATTTATATACAAATAATTGTTTTAATTATTACAAGAAAATAAATGTCCTCACTATTGGGTTTTGACAGCAGGATGGCTATTTCTGTAGGCCTTACTCAGGCAAAATCTGAGTGAGGCCTGCAGGATCTGGCCATTACTGACTAGGGCCCTGGTCTTGTAAAGAGTTATGCATGTGCTTAACTGTAAACATATTAGTACCATTGACTTAATTAGGACTACTCATGTGCATAAGCTCAAGCATGTGTATGTTTGTAGGATCAGGGACCAAGTTACATGTTTGATTATATCGTACAGTGTCCAGGATTGCGTAAATATTACCTTTCATATTTAATTATGTAAATTAAAATGTTTTTTAAAACAACAATATGGCTTTGCCTTTGGGGAAGGGAATATGATAGTATCTAGAGTCTCTAGCTATCTTGGGAATGGCAACAGTAATACAGACCCACGCGGCCGGAGAAGTGAATTGTTAAAACATTTTCTGCTTTGATGCAACATTCCTGATTTTTTTAAATCATACACTTTACTGTGCACTGTACAGTACTCCCTTTTTTATAAAATTGCCTCTTATAGAGCTACTGTAATCTGGCTTCAAACTTTTCTTTAACATTCCTTAAACACAACTCTTTATAACATATACCCCTCCTTAGCCCACGCAGTCTCTGGTTCCCATAAAATGGAAGCATTTATCTTTGACATTCATAGGCATATAAGCAAGATGCTTCATTTAGACGTGAGATATTGTATATAACTTCGAAAACAAGAAGTTTTGAAATGTTTTGCAGAAAAAATACAATTCTTTATTTTTACAGTTGGTTTTGTCACCCAGTTTGAGAACCGGATTGAGAGTGAACTTGCTTTCATGCAAACTAGCAGATCCTGTAGAGGCTAGTCAGAGCTTGTCAGGAAAAGGAAGAAAACAACATTGTTTGGCTTTTTAACAGCTGGAAGGATTTAAAAAGGTTGTACTGCGTTGAAACGACATTATTATAAAAAAAGATGTTTGAATCAATACTTGTATTTTGTTAAATGTATTTAGATTGGTAAAAGAGAAACAGGTTTATTACTGAACTTTACAAATGGGCCTATATCATCTTGATATTTCTGTTTTATATTATTCTACTTAAAAAAGCTGATTTAGGGGTCATTTTAGGAAAAATCTGTCTGCCATCTAGATGCACTTTCTGTTGAATTAAGCCCCTTAAGTAGAGAGGGAAACCATTTTCATTCAGTTTATAATACATTTTGAAAAATGCTCAAAGGAATAATAAACAGTTGTTTAATCTAAGCTGCAAACATGTTTTTATTACAATATACCCCATAGGAAAGAAATTCTAAAACCATAATTCTTGATTTATTGCAGTAGATATGATCTGTGATCTTGTATAGCATGGGAGAGTAGTGATCACAATGCAGTAAAAACAGAATTCTGTCTCGCCAAAAATGATCTTCTGTGACTGATGGCCCACTGAAGTTCTGTTCTTTCTAGCCAAAGAGGATAATCACTCCTTTTTGGGAAAAATCCCTGTAATTCTAAACTATAAAACACAATAGACCAGTGGTTCTCAACCAGGGGTACATGTAGAGGTCTTCCAGGGGGTACATGAACTCATCTAGATATTTGCCTAGTTTTATAATAGTCTACATAAAAAGCACTAGCGAAGTCAGTACAAACAAATGTCATACAATGACTTGTTTATACTGCTCTATAGACTATACACTGAAGTGTAAGTACAATATTTATATTCCAATTGATTTATTTTATAATTACATGGTGTGACAAAGTTCCTGCTCTGCCTTGGTGGGTCTTGCACTTATTGGCAGATTTGCTCACCTTGGAGCTTCACAGCAGCCCTCAGCTTGGCCGTTTTTCTGAATTCACAGTCCAGGTCGACTCCTCCTGTGTCTGACCAGGAGTTGGGAGGTTTGCAGGGGAACCCGGGCCCACCCTTTCCTCCGGGTTCCAGCCCAGGGCCCTGTGGAATGCAGCTATCTAGAGTGCCTCCTGGAACAGCTCTGCGACAGCTACAACTCCCTGGGCTACTTCCCCATGGCCTCCTCCCAACACCTTCTTTATCCTCACCACAGGACCTTCCTCCTGGTGTCTGATAATGCTTGTACACCTCAGTCCTCCAACAGTCCACACTCTCAGCTCCTCGTGCCTCTTGCTCCCAGCTCCTTGCACGCACCACAAACTGAAGTGAGCTCCTTTTTAAAACCCAGGTGCCCTGATTAGCCTGCCTTAATTGATTCTAGCAGCTTCTTGATTGGCTGCAGGGGTTCTAATCAGCCTGTCTTAATTGTCTCCAGAAGGTTCCTGATAGTTCTGGAACCTTCCTTGTTACCTTACCCAGGGAAAAGGGACCTACTTAACCTGGGGCTAATATATCTGCCTTCTATTACTCTCCTGTAGCCATCTGGCCCAACCCTTTCACAATATATAATTTTCTCTCTGTAGGAGGGTTTGGTCATTACCAGAGGAGAAGAGATGTTAAATAACCAAAATTGTGTTCAACGGTAAAAGGCAATTTAAAATCATAATAAAATTTCAGCTGCTGTGGCAAAAAACCTTCCTTGTTACCTTACCCAGGGAAAAGGGACCTACTTAGCCTGCTCTCCTGCTGCTACACTCTGGCCTGGGCTTTCCTTGCTTTTTGTCCCTGCTTTCGGCTTCCCCCCGACCGGGCCAGACGCTCTCCCCCCTTTCTTTTCTTTTTGTTGTTTTTTTTTCTTTCTTTCTCTGCTGTTGCTAGAGTGCTGGCTGGCTGCCGGCTGGCTGTTAGCCCCCCCAGCCCGCCCTCGGACGCTGCTGCCGCTCCAGCTGAAACCCCCCCCCCGAGAGAGGGGGGGCCTGCCGGCCCGCTTCCCCAGAGCCGGGGAGTGGAAGGACCCAGCCCCCAGACCCAGCTGCTTGCTGTTTGTCTGCGGACCCGTCTCCGGTCAAGAGGACTCTTACCACTTGCTCCGGCATTTCTGGAATGCAAAAAAGAAAGCTCGGAACAGACAGAGAAAAAGCCGTCCACCAGAGGAACACCACCCGGGGAATCTACAAATCTCCGTGGAGGGGGCCTAAGACTGAGTAACTTTCGAACTGTGCTCTCGTGTGGGGGGAGGCCTTGACTGTGTCTTAACTGTGTTTGTAGGGACACAGGGGGTGTGGCACGGAGCTGCCCCCCGATCCATCTGTGTCCTCCCAACCCCCCCACTACGATCTTCACCCCCTCCCCCACTCTACCATCTTTGCTGGCTGTCTAACATCTGCCTCTGGAATCAGCTGTTCGCCCTGATTCCACTGCATGGGCCAGAAGCACCAGCCAACCAAACAGGACTCTCTGGACAAGCATACGGTGGTTCATGTGCCCCCCCCCCCCCGAATTGTCCACCCCACAGCTTGTCCTTTTCTACCTGACCCCAACTCCTGTTAATCACCTGCCACCGCCCCCACTGGGGCATTGGCAATGGAGGGCACCGGGGTGACCTCCGCCGCTGCCATGCCCATCGCCTCCCCAGACTCTAGGGAAGCCCCCCCAGCTGGCGGGAAAGGCCAGGGCAAGAAGAAGGGGAAGGGCCCCGCTAAAACCACTGGGCCCTCCATGGCAGGGGCCACCCCCTCTGCTGCGGCCCTGCCACCGAACACGGCATCCTCCCCCGCTGCCCCCTCCACCAGCTCTGCGGATGTCCCTCCCTCAGCCCCCAGGATGTATGCCCAGGTGGCGGCAGCCCCCGCCTGCCGCCTCGTCATCTCTCCCGCCCACTGCCTCCGCCACTATCAATAGCGGCAGGGGCCCCTTTCCCACCATGACAAGGAAGCACGGTGTCCGATGCCTCCTGGTGCCCGCCTCGCCCCACATGGAGACCTACGTGCGGGCGTTGGCGAGGGTGGTGGGGCCCTCGGCCATTGTGGCGGCCTCCAAAATGTAAGGGAAGGTCGTTTTCTTAGCATCGGAGGCTGCTGCCCAGGAAGCGGTGGAAAGGGGCCTGGCAGTGGGGGGGGGGTTTGTCCCCCAAGAGCCGCTAGAGGACCTGAAGAGAAAAGGAGTACTTGTGGCACCTTAGAGACTAACCAATTTATTTGAGCATGAGCGTCCGCCTGGTCCTGACCTCTGTCCCTCCTTTTCTCCCCAATGCTGCCCTGCTACCCACCCTTTCAACCCTGGGGAAACCTGTTTCTGTTATCAGCCCTCTCCTGTTGGGCTGCAAGGACTCCACCCTCCGTCACAATTTTTCGTTCCGCCGGCAAGTGCAACTTTTACTGCCATTGGTGGCGCGTGACGGAGTGGCGCTCGAAGGGCCCTTCCTAGTCCCCCACCTGGGGGCCCGTTACTGGGTGTACTTTTCCACGGGGTAAGCCCGGTGCTACCTCTGCCGAGCGGCGGGGCATGTCCAGAGGGACTGCCCCTTAGCCTGGCAAGGAGGGGCACCTGGGATACCCAAGACCCGGCAGGACATCGGCTCTGTCACTGCCGACACCCTGGCCGCCCGGTACCCAAACCCGCCTCCCCTCCTCTTCGGACCACCGCTACTCCTGCTCAGGCCCAAGGGGCACGTCCCCTACAATGCCCAGACGAGCGGGAGAGCCCCGCCCTCGCTGCTGACAATCTAGCGGGGCCTATGGAGGAGGGTGTGGCAGAGATACCACCAGGCATGGGAGAGAGCCTGCCCCAGGGAGAATCCTCCCTCCCTTATGCTGCCCCACCGTTCCCCTCCCAAGTCCCTGAGCCATCGCCTTTACCCCCTGCCACGACCCCTGCTAACCAGCCCCCAGATGATGTCATGGAGGGCTGGGCCACAGTCCAGGGGAAGCGAGGCAAGCGGAAGGCTCGAGCTCCGCCTCATCCACCCGAGGCGGAGGCCCCCTGGAAGACCAGGAAGGGGGGCACCGATGCCGAACCTTCCACTTTGCCCACGAGTGCGTCCCATCCACCAGTGTCAGCCCAGAAAGACGTGGCAGCACCAGAGGGTAGTGTCTCCCCTCCACGGGAGACCCTCCCTTATGAGACACCTCGAGGAAGCCCCTTCTGTCCTGACGCTACCCGAAGCCCCCGTGAATCCTGAGGCAACCGTCGTGGCGGGTGCCGGCGAGGAGAACCCCGGGGCAGCGGAAAGTGTCCTCTCCTCCATGTTCAAGGAGATCAAGGCCTTAGATCTGACCCCGGTCGCCCAGGGGGAGGACGACCTCTTGCCAGCAAATCTTGATCTGGGCGACCTCTCTCCACCCCTCTTTTCCCCAGGCTCCCTCCCCTTAATTGCTGCTTCCGCTCCCACCTCGAAGGAGCCCCTGGACTCCTCCACTGACCCAGCCGCTGATGGCACCCCACTGATGACCACCGAGCCTGCTCAGGTGACAGCTGGTGCCACGCGGCCGGGACACGAGTCACCAGGGGCACCCCCCGTTGGTGTGGAGCAATTGACTTCCTTCCCGGGTGGGGGCCCTATAGAAGACAATCTACCTCCTGATGCTGTGGCCGCTAAATCCACCACAGAGCACACACCCAGTGTCACTGAGAGCTCCCGCCCCACCCCCTTAACCCTTGAGCCTGATCGGGAGGTGCCACCATCCAGCTGCCTGCCTCCCGAAACCCACAACCTCGCCTCTGCCCCTGCCCCTGCCCCTATCCAGTTTACCTCCTGCAATGTCATTGCCGCCCCTGGGGCTGTTTCCTTCCCTTTCCCAACTGATGACCCCCCAGGGAGCGGCCTTTGTGTTCTCCTGCCCTGACCCATTAGGAGCTGCTATTTTCCCTCCACCGCCCCCTCTCGCCCCAGAGCTTGAGGCGGGCCTAGAAGCTCCAGCCCATCAGGCACCCTGTCGGGGGTCCGCACCCTGCTTGTCCGTTCTAGTGGACCACAGGGCTGCATCAAGGGCCCCGCCGGGGAACAACTGGGAAACCGTAACCCCACCCCCCCATGAGCTGCGAGGAGAGCTGTGGAAGTTTTTAGAGGATGTCCGTGGCTCCCGCAAAAAGGTACAACTTGCACTCCAGCGATGGGGGGACTTTTCTCAAATCCTCCGGGCCACAAGGGCACTCATGGGGGAAGGTAAAGGGATGGGGAAGCAGGATGCTGCGGCCTACTGGCGGGTCCGCGTCTTCTGTGAACAATTACTCACCTACGAGATGGGTCACGGACTGCTGCGTGGCCCGCTGGGAGATGCGAGCATCCCTGCCAGTGAGGATCCCCCCCAACCCCTCCCCATGACACCTCTCACCATCGCAACGTTGAACTCCCGGGGTTGTAGGATGGCTCTCCGCAGGTCCCAGGTGCTCTCCTTCCTTCAGGAGGGAGGGTACTCTGTGGTTTTCCTGCAGGAGACCCATACGGACCCAACCGCCGAAAACAGTTGACGGCTGGAGTGGGGGAACAGGGTCTACTTTAGCCATGCCACGGTTCGACAGGCTGGAGTGGTGACCTTGTTCTCCCCTGACCTATGGCCCGAGGTGCTAGGGGTCGCAGAGGCCGTGCCGGGTCGCCTGCTGCATCTCCAGGCCCGTATGGAGAGGCTCATGGTTAACCTCATTAACGTCTATGCCCCGACATCAGGCCCGTAGCGGCTGCAATTCTACCACTGGGTGTCTGCCTTCTTCGGCACCTTAGATTCTCACGAGTGCCTGGTCCTGGGAGGGGATTTTAATACCACCCTCAAGGAACAGGACCGCTCGGGGACCGAGCAGAGCCCGGCCGCTGCCGACACCCTCCGGGAGATAGTCGAACATCACTCCCTAGTGGACATCTGGCGTGACCACCACCCAGATGACACTTCCACATTCACCTTTGTCCGGGTGGAAGCCCATCGGTCGAGCCACTCCCCATTGGACTGCATTTATTTATCACGTTTCCATCTCTCACGAGCTCACTCCTCCAGCATTCGGCTGGCCCCATTTTCTGACCGTCATCTAGCCACTGTGACAGCCTCCCTCTATGCAGAGAGGCCGGGGCCGGCCTACTGGCATTTTAACAGCAGCCTGTTGGAGGATGAGGGCTTCGTGACGTCCTTCCAGGAATTCTGGCTGGCCTGGCGAGGGCAGCGGCATGCCTTTCCCTTGGCGCAGCGATGGTGGGACCTGGGGAAGGTGCGTGCCAGGCTTTTCTGCCGCGACTACACCTGGGGCACCGGCCGATGGAGAAATGCAGCGATAGAGCAGTTGGAACAGGAGGTCTTAGAGCTGGAGAGGCGTCTGGCCGCCATCCCCAAGGACCCGCTCCTCTGCAGAGCGTGCCAGGAGAAGCAGGAGGAGCTCTGGGCCCTCGAGGACCATCGGGCCCGGGGTACCTTTGTTCGATCCCACATCTGCCTCCTTCGGGAGATGGATCACGGCTCCCGCTTCTTCTATGCCCTGGAGAAAACGAGGGGGCCAAGAAACACGTCACCTGCCTCCTGGCAGAAGACGGCACCCCCCTCACGGAACCAGTGGAGATGTGCGGGAGGGCCCGAGCCTTCTACGCAAGTCTTTTCTCCCCGGATCCGACCGACCCTGGCCTTTGCAGAGTGCTCTGGGAGGAGCTCCCTACGGTCAGTGCGAGCGACCGAGACCAGCTAGAATTGCCTCTCACTCTGGCCGAGTTCTCGGAAGCCCTCCGTCGTATGCCCACTAATAAGTCTCCAGGCATGGACAGGCTGACCGTGGAATTCTACCGCATGTTTTGGGACGTCCTCGGCCCAGACCTAGTCACCA